TGATGGGGTACCGTAGATTGGAGCTGAGCGTAGGTAGTAGGCAAGAACCGGGGCGCCCGCTGTATCAACGTGGAGAATTTGGCGGGCGGTGTATCATCCGTTATGTTGACAATGAAATTCCCCACGTTTATTATGCCCCCATTTGTAACACCCGCCCCATTTTTGTGTTTAGTGTGTATATATGAACTGACTTTTGTTTGTCCTTACCACTTCACCCATATGGCCTTGAGGTCATCCAGCCATTTGTATCTGACTTTGCACGTGTGACTGTTGCACGTTGGAGCCTGTTTGCTCCCTTGCTTTGCACTTTTGAAGTCCAAGCGGACTGTTTGTTTTGGACGCGTATCTACTGTCGAGGTTTGTACAAATTGTGAATTTCTCTTACCCTAATAGTACCGTATAGAAACCCAGCTCCGACTTTGTTTTGCCTACCCGGAGGTTCTGGTATTACGCGTCACTCGAAGATACCGTTAGACCGTTACATGGGTAATGCAAAATAACCAGCCGATCCGGGTGTCAAGTCGGTGTAGTCGGTAGCGCGTTCGCCTGCCGTCCGGAGGATCCGGGTTCGATACCCGGTCAGCTCGCTTTTCCGTCGGAGTAGGCGCTCAAAAATAAGGTGCAATCGAGGCGAACTTGCAGGCAATGACAGACGGGCAAGAAATTATGACATTGCTTACTGAGGGATAAGCAGACCTTAAGTGGGAAAAAAGCGGGGGGAAAAACGAGCAACAAGAAAACAAAACGGTGTCATAATAAACAGATGTAAGTCATATTACTCATGATTAGTCAGAAATCAAGGAAAGTTACCCTTGTTCACCGTTGATTCATAGGGGGAATCAACAATGAGTATGAAGCATTTGGCTGGCAAACTGGGAAAAATACCTATTTCAGAAAAGGGGTATCTCATTAGCGACGATCCCATAGAGGCTTTTTTGCACAACTGCAGTCTCAACGGCTGATATGCATTGTGTGATTTCTTGCAGCTTGGTGCATAATGGCTGTAAGCCTTAAGAAATTAGAGACTAACATGAAATGAATGAGGTTTATTTAACAGACAAAATTTCTGAAGCTGATGTGCCTTGAATGTGCCGCACGAAATCATCGTCATCTCTTCTCTTAGCTAGCGCTCCACAGCGTTAGTCCTACTGAGTGAAGGTCTTCACTGAGGAGCTATCTATTTGAAAACCTTAACTGAACATTCACAGACTATTGGACAGGGAAGCAAAACTCTCATATGCATCTTGTTTATAACTGAATATCCATCTCCTTCTTGAAAGTGTCTTCCCGAAATCTGGATACTCTCTGCCATGCAGCAATCCTACAAATTCCGTAATAAATTTCACCTTTCAACAGGCGCGAATCCTATTTATGAGAAAACACCGACTACCAGCATGCTTCATCAGTGAATTCACCGTTACATCACTATTGAGATTTTGAGTCACGTCTGTCGAGCAGCTCTTCTCTGAAGGCGCAACTACCGACACACAGAGAATTCCGGGGCCTAATATGCTGATATTTTGTGCTTCGGTCCAGAGCAAGATCACAAGATTCCCCCTTTTCGGACCAGTAGGCAAGCGCACCTTTGCGTTTTTTGGGTGAGCCGTGAGCTAGGCACAAAAATAAATTATTCATCTACAGGCTTGTCCCTGGGATAAGCCTCAGGAGTATCACTACGCAGAGAGCAAGTTTCACAAGATGACGTGATATGTGGTCCGCTGCATTCCGGCGGTCACGGGTACATGTCTGCCGGTCACAGAACAATCAGATGCTTACTGACGGCCCTGGCCCTCATAGGTCCAGTTGTTTTCGCCAACTATTGAAGGCTGTCGGTGGTGGCCTGAGGGCAAGTTTAAGGCGTATAACGTGTCCAGGAATGTTGTAATCAGAGAGTCACCGTTGTTGGATGAGGAATCAACCTATAAACATCTACAAAGAATATTTTTACTGCGGGAACTGGCTCATCTCAAATGGATGCAAGGTATTTTCATTGCTTGGTAGGAGGGAAATGTGCATTATCCAGCAGAGGTGTCAACCGTCTGGGAGCACTTGGATGTTTCCACCATTGGCTATAGGTTGGTTAACGTAGATTGACCTCACCTTGTTCATTCCAACACTACGATAGTACAGGGTCGTGGTTCCAAGGGCCCCGAAGCCAGGGAGTGCGCGCACGTGGTCATTTGACAGACAACATTCAGAATGTAGACGTCGCCCTTCAGGAATTCCGGTCACTCGCAGTGGTGCGAAGTATGCATACCATAGTAACTCATGGGCACTGGGCGTGCATAAACACCTGTATAACACGCTCCACTGTGTATGAGTGATGCACCGGTTTTTCAACCGACCGTTTCCGTTCTCCGAGCGGTTGCCAGTCACATTACCAAAACGGAACGTCCCGAATTGTTCCTGCACACTTCACTTGCGGGTGATGTTCAGCCAGTGGATCATACGGAAATAAACAAACTTTGAGTATGTGAGGCGCAGCAGTGGCAGACCTTGTGCTAGTATTGTGATAAACGAAAAAAATACTGTACCGGATTGTCCAGGTGAGCCGTGTGGTGGAATGTGGGCAGGGTGTTCGCAGTGTCTGGGACCAAAAGCGCATGGAGTTTACATGATATATACATGCTGATAACTGCTCCAGTGCGGAAGTAGCACAACATGACATCGCTGCGGAATAATACTCCCACTGACTTCGTTTGAGCCACCAGTTTGTTCAGCGCAAAACACTTCCAGGGATACTGTTCACCCAGCATTCCCCTGAACAAGCTAAATAATTTGCGCATGGGTGCAAACTGCCCGCTTTCCAGGAAGGCGTGCATAACCCCCGTCTGGTACCCATGCTACCCATGATCGGGAAGCTAGGGAGTTTTAGCAGGACAGAAAGTATGTCGTAAGCCACAGTGAATCGTAGCTGTGCGTCACTCAAGATGATCGTCGCTTCTGGTGTTCGTTGTGTATTTCTCTAGTGGTAAGCCCCTTGCCGAATTCATCCGACACAGCCTGCCCAAAGCCACGTGACAGTACTCCATACTAAGGGGAGCCCTGCAAGTGCCAACTCTTCTTCGGTTAAACCTCGATTTACCGGAAGCCGATCGTCAAAAAATGGAATCCTTATGATTGTGTTCAAGATGACAAGAGGTGACAGAGACGGTTCCCCCGTCTCCTTAGACAAAATGGAACTGGATAGGCGGTGTTTCGCGTACTATTGGCTAATGGCTAATACGCTAAGCCTACGAGCTTATACGGATTCTCCAAATTTTCGTTTGTCTTCTTGACCGCCTGCTGCATTCGCAACACACCCGTTTGCAGTACAAAGCAGCTTTGGTGCCTCCACTTCCTACCATGCGTACAAATACCACACAGTAATTCTTCGTGTATCGGACAGCCCTAAACAAGCATATCTAAAGTCGCTTCTGAAGCCATAGCACAGCAAGTTCAAAAAATGGAGATTTGTCAAGATAAACTGCGACATAATGAAGGTAGATTAGTGTGATTGTTGTTTTGAGCGTATATACAACATAATGCAAAAGTATTGAGAAATTTTTATTTCACCCGCAAAAGTCTTGCAGAAAAAATCATTTCACCGCCAAGGACCACCGAGTAAGAGGGTGCACCAAAAGAGGCTTCATGTGGGCGTCCTTCAGGAACTTGGCAAGCTTCCCATGATTTCGTCTACTCACCTTGGAAATGCGCGAAGAGCAGTCCGTTACCGAGCATTCTGCCAGTCTAAAACTCCCCACATAGTGATTACACCTAGACTACTAGATTGGCGAAGTAGTGAGTTCCGAAACATCAGGATTTCCAACCCGAAACATCTAATTGAAACATGCCAGTGCAGACCATTAGGGGCAAAATGCTCTTAGCTGCAAAACCTTTGCAAGTGAAATGAACGTTTTACGCCAAAAAATTGCATTTGGCACGTATGTCCTCAATTGCAGACTGCTTTTGAACTTCCAAAGGGATCGGCGGGTTGTTCAAAAACTGTTTGTCTGGTTGCCCAAGGCCACGTTTTGTCACCCTGGGAAAATGGCGAAGGTCAACATATGTAACGTTGAAGTTTTGGGCAACCCGTCGTCTTTCTTCGATCCGTTCCGTTTCCAGATTACCTTTGAATGTCATGAACCCTTGGAAGACGGTAAGTCACCGGAAACCTTCGTAATCTGAAAAAAAGATTTGTTGACAACTAGTGAGATCACAGGTTTTTCGGCTTCGGTCGAGTCATACGAAAAGCCCCGGCGTAAACAGTTATACATTCGTTGATAAACTGTAGCTGAAGCGCCGAATGGAGACTTTCAATACTCAAATAGGGCAAAGGCGTGCTGGCGGCAGAAGTGAGCCGCGTGGAAGACCCTTGTCAGGATTGTCACTTCCCATTTTCACAAGAGATGCTCATACTGAATACGGCACGTAGACATGACCCTGGGACAGCTAGCGGGATTCTGATCGGAGGAGATTGTGTGGACCACATCCTCATATCGTTAAGTGTTGGGGAAAGGGCATGGCATATAGATGCCCCACAGTCTCGGCGTTCATTGGGTTTATGGGGTATCGACTAGGTCGACAGGATAGCTGTTTTCAAGACGCTTAAGCTCGACGTAGCTTAGTGGTTATGACATGCACTTTATAAGCGGAAGGTTTGTGATTTGACACCTACCCCGGTCCTATCTGAGCTTAGGCAACCTGACACTATCTCACCTCTCGTGCTTGCATCGGGTGGTGTTGTAGCTGCATGCAGAAGGTGTCTTAAGGCCGAAGGATTGCGTTTTTATTAAGGAGCACGTGCGACAGTATATGCCCCAGATTTTCATGGACATCATACGCTGTGTGTACCTAAATACTCGTGGCCGTGTGAGGGTGCCTTATGATTTCCACTGACGGCAACGCCAGATTGAACCCTTGGGTTTCGCTGCCTTACAACCATACCAGTTTATTCGAATGCAGCCGTATAAGGAAGAGGATAAAAGTTGGCGAGAGGACCTAAGACAAGACATATGATGCGCCTACATCCCAAACTCAGCCCGACAATCTAGATGGAAACTGTTAGCATGGACGCTATATCATCCGTTGTCTTCAGTCAAGTGCAGACGGCCACATGAACCCAATCCTGGAAGGCAAACAGTATCAAGAATATTCGGTATTTTCGAAGTATTCTTATTCCACTCCTACCATGTCAAATTCTGTCCACTTGTGGGTTTCTGCACACCGTAAACTGGCATGTGCACGTCCCTGTCTAAACTTTGACAACCTGACAGTATCTAAGCCCTCGTGCTTCTTTCGGATGGCATGACAGTTAGACACCGAAAGGTTTATTTATTTGTGTTTTTATGCGTAACACAAGTCACAGCCACATTAGATTCAATGCTGCGTGGATCCTGAGTGAACTATCGTCTGCGTCACTCAAAACTCCGTCTCCTATACTTATTGCGGATTCGTTGGTTTGAACCGACTCCAGGTATAATTCTGAGATATTGGTAGTCAAATGCCTGAAGCTACTTCGGAATATCTTCAGCTTTCCGCCGGAAGTGTCGTAAGAGTGTATGGCATCATCCTCGTCAGAAACTGACATAATTGTTGACACTGGCGTTTCACTGCCGTTCAACCAGAGAGCCTTGGATTGAAAAGAACAAAGGATTTGTGAGGTAGAGAATCTAGTGCTACCTATTTCAAGCATTATGTGGTGCCTAAACCTCCTAGCGCTCCATCGGATAATTTGGAAAGAAACTGGTAACACGAGCGTCACTGACATATATAAGCCGCCGTTTCTCACAATACCCAGTGGGGGAGGTCACGGCCATCCCGTCTTGGAGGGCCTGTTGCACTAACAACACTCAAGCTTTCATACGGTGTCCACCTCGCGGTTTCTGCCATTCTGGAGGTGGGACGGAGAACAACACTTCTCGGTAGACGGTGTTTCGGCATGGCCGGGTTACCGCAGTTGATGGTGCTGAATGTGCCTACTGTACGGCAGTGAAGCATCGGTGTTGAACACTGATGTCATGTGTCAATGATGATGATGACTATCAAGTACCCGTTTTCTGACCACCTATACTAATCCATTGACGCCACCCAAAACCAGCGACGCTTCTGGGGCATCGGTGGTCAAAAATCTGAATATGTCCCACATCAGTTTTCTGCAGGGCTCATGTCTAGCAACCCAGCAACAAAACAGCCCTTACTGACCATTGGGACCCAGTTTTATGCCCTGTGGGCGCTACAAGCGAAACAAATTAGCAAGCGTGAATTAAATCTTCGACATTGGTGCGCCGATTTGATCAGACACTTCAGCGAGAACTAATACAACTGCCGAGGTATGTTAGTGCTTCTCCTTGAATTGCAGGGGGCATTTTCAGGAGCTAGGCATTTCGAAGCGTGACTTTGCACTTTGAAGCGCATGCCGATGCTGGTCATTTTATTCAACAGATATCGTGCTGCGCCTTCGTCTTCGAAGATAAGGGCGATTTCCTCTGCGTACTCCGAATCGATACTGTTCCCACCAGCAACGTATTGAACACCGGGTTTATGAAAACCTTGCAGCGTTTGGCTCATTATTTCATCAGTAACGAAGTTGAACGAAAATGGAGGGAATGGACAACCTTGTCGGACTTTTTGTAGAGAAACTCCTGGGGAGCTCACCATACACACACATCCAGAATTATATGAATATAAGGACCGGTTTATGTTCACAAACTTCTGGGACGTGCTCTTTTGGGTAAGTGTGGTTATCAACATTGCTGCTCTCGTGCCAACGATTCGCGTACCACCGTTGGACGATGAGGAATCAGGGATGCCGAAAGCTCTGTTACAACGGGATTCGAAATAAGACCACTGTGGCTACCTCATTCTAATACGGCTGCGCATCAACCTACTGCGCAGCGGAACAGTCATGTGAAACAGAGCCGTGCGATTATGCCCCCACGTCTGAATAACGTCCGATTTCATCATGTGCCGGAGAAAGGTCAAATAGGGACACAGAAAGTTCACACCCACTCCATGGCCAAGGCACCCCGTACACAAGCGCACAGACGGCCATCTATGATCAACCGAGAACCAGTGTGGGCGTG